TTGCTGGTTTGCCACATAGCCATTGCCACAAAAGCCGCACGGCATGCCGAGGCAAAGTGCAGGCACAGGCACAGGCACAGACACAAACACAGACACAGCCACGCCCTGCCCCAACCCACGCCTAGCTTCGCTTGCATTAAGTGGCGGTTGCCAAAGTTGTCGACGTCATGAAACTTAAACAATGCACGCCAGAAGCTAGCAGTAGCAGGAGCTTCGTCCAGGTGCAACTGCCACTGCAGCAACTGCAGCTGCAGCAAATGCATTACACATGCGAGCACCGTGAAGACAGAGGCCACAACACCAGCCACCAGTGGGGACGGGTCGAAGTGAGGCAAGGCGGTGCGTGGCAGTTTAAAGTGCTGCCTTTGACTGCCGTCTCTGAAGGGAGCAAAGTGGAAAGCCAGCTTGTATTATGCCTTAAGGACATTAACCTAATCAACGCTCAGTGCACAACGTTCTGCACATGCATGACAAGCAGAAGAGTTGCATAGTGTATGTTGCATACGATGGAGCGTTGCATGCATCGGGCTGGCATTGTGTTGACAATTGAAGTCTCCTTAATGATGAGGGAGTCGGTGGGCTGCCCAGAATATTGACTACCCTATGAATTGTTGTTTACTGGTTGAGCTCTGATTTTGTATGCATATGCAATAGAGTAGGAGATGCTGAAAGAAAACTTCGAGCGAAGAGTGTTAAGGGATGAATGCAAGACTTCATCACGTTAATTAATTGAGCTAAGTTTTCTGATCAAAACTGGGAGAAGAAAAACATTGAGTGAACATTATGGAAAATGTGTCAGAAGGATTGAGCACAATCTTTTATAAGATATTTTATCTAAAATAATGAATAACATTTAATAATAGAATAATATGGTTAAGGGATATATCAAATATATGTTCAATAAAAACAGTAAACTTTCAGGAGCAAAAGAATTGAAGTTACTTAAGAATGGTTTTTGATATGAACGATTGAAAGGCGATAGTAAATAACAGCTAGTATCGATACAAATGATTTTATTAGAAAACAAATGGATTTATGGGAAACAAGCTGTGTCACGTTTAAAATGAAAAATATTTAATTCGTAAACGTATGCTTCATAATTTGAAAGGATTAACATCGACTCTTTCGATAATATTCGAACACCAAAGAACATGCATTTCACATATATGGGAATATTTCGCAGAGCCTTTCGCTGATATTCCAAAAAAATAATTTTATATATACATGTATTGAATATGCATGAACCTGATTTGCATTTTTTATTTACTCAGTTTATGTGTCTCACATATTTGCACTGATAAGGACGTACCACTTTTTGCGGCTCGACATTTTTTTTTTATTAGAGTGCACGGCATTTACATAAAATAATATTATTATTGGCAATACAAGCAGATCCGTGCACACGCACACAAACATGTAGCATACGAGTGCATTAAATTATTGTTGACATAATTAAAAAGGAGTTGAAGTGTGTAGGCAACACTGGCAGAGCGCCATTTTAAATGCAATGCAAAAGACTTTAACAAAAAAACATGGAAATGCAACTCGACTGCTTGTCGCTTACATGTTTCCCAGGCAAAAAAAAGAAGAATAAAAGCAGCACAGCGCAGTGGAAAAAAATCAATGAAATTTGCTTGTTAAATGTCCACCACGCCCCCGCCCTGGCCAATTTATTGGCGAGCCTGTAATCAGACTGACATTCGAATACGAGCATGTAATTATGTCAGCGCTTGATTGCCCAGGCACGCCCCTAGGCACGCGTCCGCACGCCCTTTGTCAGTTTATGAAAATGCAATCGCCATTTTGCATATTGATAGAGTTCGCACAAACCCAATAGGAAAAAAGGTGTCCACATAAAAGAAAAATTTTAAATAACAAAAAAAAAAAATTGTTGACTGGTCATAATTGTCATTTAGTGAAGGCCCCTATGAAATGCTGTGCAACAAAACTTTTGCAAATATTTTTGCAATAATGGCAGAAGAGCATTGATTCAAAATTTTGAAAAAAAAAATTAATAATCGATAAAATCAACATCCATTAAACAATTTGAACAGTTTAATAAGAGACTAACAGTAATAGGGTCATTACAGTAAAAAACCAATTGATAGCTTTAAAAACGCGTCTAAGGCTAAAAGAATACTTGTAGTAGGTCTATGAATAACTAAGTAAGCAGATATTTAAGGACACAAGAAAAACAGACTGTTACCACCTAGAAGTGGTTAACTTATTTACCATGTAACCTTTTCTAAATTGCCAGACAAAAGTTATACTATTCTCTGGAGTGAGCGACATCTGAGCCTCTTGCAGCCTATGAACGTAAAGATCAACAAAGCTATATTATATCATACTATATTATATACACTTGATAATCAAGAAATATACATTCTATAAGGATGGATGCATGAATTTTGTTTTGTTATCAAATGTTCAAAGTTAACATGACTGCTCAACTCTCCCCCAATACGCTTCAATATGTGGGTTTTACCTATCCAATCAACTTGCTTCGCAGAGTTTTGTGGCTGCCACAAGTTCAGCCGCCTAATGAGCAACACGCTGCCAACAAGTTTAGCCTCAAAACTAACAATTTTATTAACTGCCAAACAACATGCGGGGGTGTGCAGTGTAGGAGATTGGGGGCGGCAGCCATATGGAACACCACACGCAATTTATGCGCCGCAACGTATGCAACATATTTCGTGTATGCCAGAGAAATTTGCAACGCCCCAAAATGCATGAGCATGAGCCACGCCCACTGTTCTTTAGCAACGCAGCTCGCTTGTATGGGTGGCAGCTTCATTAAATTTACACGCACATGAAGAGCTTTGGCGGGGCAGGACAAGAGGAGCAGGGTAAGGAAAGGAGGCGGCTTGAGGAATGGACTGGAGAGCGCGCACAGCGAAGACGCTGTCAGTTTTGTGCAATTTCCGGCGCAATCTTCATTTACAACTTAAGTTACAGCACAAACAACTACAACTGCATGTAAACAAACAAGACAAACACACACACACATGGACACGGACACACGTACACACACGCATCCACACAGGCACGCCCACTACTTGGCTGGCTGCCTATGCAAAAAGTGTTGCAGACTGTTAAGCTGTTGTGAAAACATTTTAGCGCTGCCTGTCTACAGAGTAGGATAGCTATTCGTGGGTGTGCTTGTGTGGGTGTGCGTGTGTGTAAGTCGTTGCAAACACCTACTCACACGCACACACGCACATATTCGCCTGCTGTGCAAATGACTTGGCAGAGCTGTAAAGTTATGCCTATGAGTGCCTTAGCCAGGATATTCTAGAGAGCGCTTTGCCAGGGTTGCCAGGGTTGCAGAGTGCAAATTTATTAGGCGCATTGCATACTTTTGTGCGCTCACTTGAAAAATGACAACTTTAATTTAGCTACAAACACCGACAGCAACAGGAACAGCCATGCCCATGCTCCGTACACCCCACCGTAAAAAGAATGGCAACACCGCCCCCAAACCAGAAAAGGGCTGAGACAAAAGACAATGAATATGGACGTGGAGCCCAAAACAGAGAATACGGTTGCAACCAGCAGGAGTTGCCACTGCTTTTGTCAGTTAACCACACTGGCTGGCAATGCGCCTAGTTGCCGACTACAGTTAACTCCATAGCGTGTGTGCGTATTTGTGTGTGCGTATGTGTGTGTGTGCGAGATAGACAAATAGGACAGACAGAGAAGGCGACATGCACTGAGTCTGAAACAGGGACTGGGACCGAGAGACTGAGCGCGTTGTCTTTTGATGGCCCCCGTCTCAGATGAATATTAATTACCATTTGAAAGCTTGTCATACACTTGTGTAAATTTATCAACAACAGCAGAAGCTGCAGTAGCAGCAGACAATAACCAGAGTTGCCAAACTGGGAACAGTCAAGGAGTCCTTGGGAGCGGGGGCACTACAACATTGAGGAGGCTGGCAACCAAACAAAAGTTTAGGCTTGAAAATTGCTTTGCATGGCAAAGGATTAGCAAAGGATTTGCGTGCATACAGAAACACATTTCGTTCCTCTGGTCGAGATTCTCAATCTTCCCAGCCCAAATATAGCTGCAGGTCGGTACACACATTATTGGGGCCCACTGTAAAATGTCATAAATAAATGCATGAGCCTTGTAAGCGCATGTGCTATGTGATATTTACAATGCAATGTAATTGATACTCCCATTCCCAAAGTATTTTTACACGATGCCTCTGCCATTTTTACATCACTTCTGGTCAGGTATTTTGGGCGAACTCCCTTGGGGCCTTGTCCCAGCCTTGTGGCCAGCCAGCAGGCAGGCAGTTACGTACGTGTAAATTAAATTGTTCGTGCGTCCACATTTGGTTTAATGCTTGCCAGTTACTCCACGGAGCATATTGATAGTTTACAGGCAGAGTTTTGGGGCTTCAGCTGGACCTTCGGGGGCCCTTAATTAATTGGTTACCCACTTGGCAATTGGTCTGACAATGCCTTATATTTCGTATTTGGTACTGGAGCATGCAAAAGCTCAACTTTTTATTAGTTATTGCTTAATATAATATTAATTATCAAGCGGAAGCAGCCCCGAAATGGAGACAGTTCAAACGAAAAAATAAGTAAAATAAAATAATAAAAATTCTGCTGTATATACCAAGGAATTCTTGATCAAAGGACTCTCAAGAAATTAAACACATAATAATAGCATTTCGTTATCTAAACATTTAATGGCAGTTCGAAATTAACAAAGTACTGAAGTTCATACGTTTTTTTTTAAAGATTTTGATTGTCTCAACAAGTTGACAAATAAATAATTAATTTATAAAGAATGATCTGAAAAGACAAAAATAATAGATTAAGATGCTAAGAAAAAATTATAAATTGGCGCATGAAAAGCCAAAGTTTAATGTTGCCAGTCGTTCCGAAAAAGTTAGGCTGTTAGCATGTCACATTATCCTATACCTAAAACAATAACAATTGAAACAATAAAAACAAATTGATATAACCTTCATCTTTCTCTTCCAGGCACCACCTACACACAACAACAAAATATCAATGCAAAGTCACAATTGAAGACGACGCCCGCCGAGCACGCAGCCAGCAAATGGCGCAGCATATCAGAGCAGACGCCGCCGCCGCCACCGTCGTCGGCGCAGAGTTTATTCGAACTCGAAGCGAATATACAGAGATTGCCGCAGCTGGCAGTTGACCACCGGCAGGTGGGCATTCACAATAGTAAACCCTCCAAATGTGCCAAGAACTGTGCCAAGGCCAAGGCAAAGGTGGCCAAATGGAAGGCGCAGCTGAGGAGCCACCGTGTGCATCAGGCGCATCGAGCAGCGCCACACAAGGAGGCCACGCGACGATTGCGTCGGGAGACAGAGGAAGAGGAGCTGGAACTGCCTACAGCAATGTCCAGTGCCACCACGGTGGCCACCAGTGCCGCAGTCACGAGCTATGCAAATAGATCGCTCGCTGGACTGTTGACCACCATGAAGGCGAAACGCGCACGCTCCACGGTGATCCTGGCGCCGGAGGATATGAAGCCTAAGCCCAAGGAGCCCGTCATTATTATCGATGATGTGGAGGAGTTTGATAGCGGCACCGCCACGCGCGATCTGTTCGCAAAGAGTCGCGATGTGGCGGATCTAATGGATGATGATGGGCCGCTTGAGGGTCCGCGGGCGCTGCCTCTGCGCCCAGTGCCGCCCAATCCCTACGAGGACGAGGAGATGTCTGTGGTCTATGCGGAACAGCACTCAGAGATCAGGCTGATGTGCGAGGTGGACCTGGATATATCCTCCAGCATGTGGTACAAAAATGGCCAGGTAAGTGACAACAATTGGTACTTTACTTTATCTCCATGTCAGCCAGTTTCTAACTGCAGCTGTCGGAGCTGCCAACTTATTTGCAGCTTTTGACTTTAATTGCATTCTTGTGCGGCCCGTTAGCAACCATCACTTCCTGTTGGTCCCTTAATCTGTCTCGTAGTTTTCGCATTTTAATATTTGTGCCCACTAGTTCCAGCATCCGTTGGGTATTTACTGCTATTGAGGAAGGGGCGTTTGTTAAGGAACTCAACCAAAAAAAAAACGTTATGCTTGGGTCTGAATAGATGAAAATACAACTCTAAAAGAATATTTGGAAACGACAATATAAAATGTTATATTGGAAGAGAAATTCAGAATGTGTTATATCTTTGATGAAATAATTCCTCCTTTTTCTTAGGAAAAGCAACTATTTTTATGTAAAATCTGAGTTTGGGAATATGTAACAAAATAAATACTAAATATTTAATATAATTTTATTTTTAGGAATTTTAAATCAAAGATAAAGAAAAAAGACAGAAAGTTTAATCATTTTTTTAATTTAATTGAATGCCCACTTAATTAGACATCAAATTGAACTGGTAATATACCCCTTACAAAATATTAAGTTGAAAACCACCAACAGGGTATTTCTTAGTCTTCACATAGATGTTAAGCAGCAACATTCTTAGTTGCTTTTTATTGTCGCCTGCACTGCGTTTATCCTTTGTGCCTCCTGGCCTCTCTGGCTTCGGACGCTGTCTTCTATCTTCCTGTCAGACGTCTCGAGTGCCAGTTCTCCCTCTCCCTGTCCCTCTCTCTCTGTCTCTCTGCTAGTCTCATTTCCATTCTGCGTCTGGCTTTTGTGCTCCTTGCTTATTTGTCGTTTAAATGCCGCATTATGCAAATAGGATAATCGTTATTATTTGATAGTTTCTGATGTCAAAAGCATTTTAAGAGTTCATCTGTCAAAGGACCTACCGCCCTCCGCCCCCAGAGGCCAGGTCAGGTCGAGGCTTAGCGGGGCGCTTCTGCTTTTTGTGCTTCGTGTCCGACTTCTAATTACAACTTTACGCTGTATGGCAACGCCCACGAGTTGCAGCGAAATATTATACAAATGCAAATTACTGCTGCACTTTTTTTGGGATGCTTCCTGCGCTCTAACTAACGAGTTAAATTGAAAATAAAGCGGCTACAAAAAAAATGCCAAACTGGCAGTTGGCAGGAGGAGCAGCAGCAGCGTCAAAAAGCCAAAAAGCTGGCAACAAAATTAACAAACATGGCGCAAAAGTTAACAACCAGCCTGCAAAAGTTATTGAGTTGTAATTGCAAGTGCAAACAGTCGACGGGACGGTGCAAAAAGCGTAGTCTACCTTTCGGCGTAATGCAATTATAACCGCTTTGGCTGCCGCCGGGCACAGTTGAGAGTTTTTTGAGCCAGCACAACCGAACTGCGGATGATAGTTCGCACACGGTTGAAATTTATAAAACTCCACGAATGTGATTAAAAACTGAGTATCATGAAAAAATATATTCCAGATGTAAGCTGCAGAGTCAAAGGAATTATTTCAAACGATTTCCAAATTATATTAAAGGTGTTTTTTGTTGGATTTTATTGGGTTGCTTAATAGTTACGCATTAAAAATATATTAATAAAAATTATCACAGTTAAGTGTAAAACGTAGAGTTTTCATCTGTTTCGGTTTGATTTTTAAGCAATTTATATTTGAAATAGAAAAATAGACAATTTTGATCTTTTAATAAACACTTTAAAAATAAATTAAAGTCGAATTAATTTGAGTTCACTTTGAATTATTTATTATTATTATTGTGTACTCTATGCAATATAATTTTTTGCCGCAGAAACTTCATCAGAAAGTCATTATACTGAACTTTTACTGGAATCGAGCTCTTCATCAACAACTAAACATCTGTGCTATGCTCGACTCGTTGTACTTACTTTGCAGTTCTTGTTTATTTTACAGTTGCCGTTGTTTCACTTGTTTGTGTTGTTGTTGTTGTTGTGGCTGCGATTGTTGTTGTTTTTGTTTTTGTTGGAAGTGCTGCTCTTGTGTAGTGTAAATTGCAACAGCAACGAGTGGGCAGGCCAAGTTGTTGATGGGCAAATAATAGTTGAAACTAACACAACAACAACAACAACAACAACAGCAGCAGCAGCAGTAACAACAACTGCAACAGTGGCAATAACAGCAACACTTTGTGTACGTGCCTCGGTTGTTGGTCTGCGGCTTGGCTTGGCAGTTAACTGACGCTCCAAACCTGGCACCTGGCCCAGGTGTAAGTGTCTGCATGCGTGTGTCTCTGTGTGTGTGTGTGTGTGCTTGGTCGGTGCGTTGGTTTCAGCAAAAAGCGTTGCATACTGGTGGGCGTTGCATGCAAACATTGTTGCTGCCAGTGTTGACTAACATTTGTTCTTGTCGTTCCTTGTTGCTGTTGTTGCTGTTGGCTGCCTCTGTTTATTCTATACGAAAATTAAATTCAATATTGCGCGCTGTCGAGACGCGTAAGCTAAGAAATGCCATCGCAGTGGAAAAAATCCACCAAATTGGCTGTCAACAGCTGCCATTTGGCGTATTTCGAACACCAAATCTGGCAGACACGTCTCCTCCGCTCCCCTGTTGTCTGCCGTCTGATTGCTGCACTTGTTTGTGCTATCAAAAAATCAGACGACTTTGCAATCTTGGTGACATTTCGCATCTATCGATTGCGTTTGGTTTTAGTTGCCTTAAAAATTTGTTGCAAAAGATGTTTGCCACACGCTGTGCGGCATTTGTTGCAGATTATCAACTTCCACGACCCTCTAAAACTCTGAGTTCGGCCTTTAGCACCAGACTGTCTCTAAGATTTTCTCTACTAACAATTTGTTGGCTTTTATTGTGCAATATGTTCAAAGGCGACAATTGCCAGACATAAAGCTTGCGGTTTTAAGTTTCATCTAACTATGCGAAAGCAACGTATGGCAGCTGCGTAGGGGAAGGTTGATGCACTTTGAAATACCCTGACTGAGCGCAAATGTCTTCAACAGAAAAATAACTTCAGTTTTTATTTCAAAATTTTGTTTAAGCTAAGGTATCTTTTCCATAAAGAATAAACAAATTCGATATATTGCGTGTTAGATTTATAGTTTACGATCCGGTTTTAAATATTTTGAAAAATATTAAAGAAATAGTAAGTAAATGATCAATATAATAACTGTTCAAAGTATATCTTAAATCATTTACTTTTTAATTAAACTTATTTGTCCTTTTCAAAAAACAGGTTTCGCTATAATAAATATAATAATATAGGCGTTCCAAAAGTCCATACGTTATTTAAAACATAAAAATTCAAATTTGTATTTATAAAAATCGATTTCCATCTTATTTCATCAGCGGTATATTGCCTGCAATGCCCTAACTTTTCCGGGTATATTGTAGCGAGCAAAAGTGATGCGTCTTTTTTATGGTTGTATCTTTGCTCGTTGGCCATTGTTGCATACTTTGTTGTGCTTGGCAGGCTGCAACTTATTTATGGCCCCATCGTTTGTTGCTGTTGTCATGGCTCAGGTTTAAGGTCAACAGACTTTGTCTGGGACCGGGAACTGGAGCTTCTACTTTTTATGGGCCCCGCCAGCCGCAAGGGCCACATAAATCTCAAAGGGTTCCCCTGTCAAAAGCCGCGCTAAGCCTCCATTAGTCAATTAGGAGACGCAGAGCAAAACTTAATGCACGGCATTAATAGAGCGGTCCGCTTGGTGGTCCTCAGTGGTGCAGCGGCAGCTGCAAATCACATCAAGCCAAGAAATTAATCACTCAGACTGAAGGCGGCAATCCCCAAATGAAAATCAGCAACAATGCGATGTCAGTTCATCCTCTGGTCGTGCACAAGGGCGTGGCAAGTTGCTAACACGCCGCTTACTTTGTACCTTTGACAATTTTATTAAGTTAGTAACAATGTCGGCTCTAGCAAGGAATGCCTCAGCTCCGTGCCAGTCGTAGGGCCAGTGGCAAATAAAATCAACGCCGCTGACGTTGCAGCTGCAGCAGAGATAACAGCAGAGGCAGAGGAAGAGATGGAGGCAACATTTCCCCACGGTGCAATTGTATTAGTTGTGTTAAAACAAAAGCCAGCCATGTGAAAGCGAAGACATGAACGGAGCACATGCACAGCAGATTAAGGCGGGGATGGAAAAGGGGAATTGAACCACGGCGGCTGCAATTACAACAATGATGCGGCAACAATGTGAGCCAGGCGAGGCACAGCTGGGAAGCATCAGCTGGAGCACTACAATTAAAATGCTCTTTTCGGAGCTGCAGCAGCAAATGAAGATGATTATTTTAAATATAGGGATTCCGATTCCTGATTAACATCTGACAACCCTTGAATAAGTTACTTCACCACTTTACCCATAAAATTAATATAAAATAAAGCCAATGGAAAATTTTGTCACGGTAATAATTGGAAAGATAAATTCTATTTAAACAACTTTCGGCTGAAAAACTTTCATAATTTGCAAACAATTGTGCTTAAAACAAAACATAAAAATTAATTTTGTTTTTTTCACAATTTTTTGATTTATCGTCAATTTTCTTAAGCTATAGATATTCGCTGGGTGTAGAGCATTTGAATTTCTGCACATTGACTTTTGCTACTCTGGGCTTAACAAACATATTTTATCATTATCGCCGACACTCGTTCGCCTCATCACACCCCGTGCTCATGTTGCAAACAGCATTTGCAATTGCATTTTAGCTGCTGTTCGCTGACTTTCGTCTTGTGCGCTGTCTTCAGCAAAGTCTGGAGCAAACACAATGACTCAAAAGGCCGCCCAACCGCCCGCACATCTCCAGTCGTGCCCGTTGCAACTGCAACTGCGGCAATGACATGCGACAAGTGTTGCACTGACAGCTTGCAACATGAGCGACTTTTGTTGTACTTTCTAGAGCGCTGCACAATGTATTCGAGTCCCCATGCAGCCATGCAGCTAGCCTCAGCGACTTTGAGTGGCTGCCAAACTGCCAGTTCCCCTCGCTCCGCAGCATGTGCGTGTGTGTGCCAAAGAATTTATTGTTGAAAATTATCAAGAGGCTAATATATTTGCCGAAAGCAATTTCAAGTTAGTAGCTTTGGGCCAACAGCAGCGACAGGGCCAGCAGTAGAAAAAACGAGCACAACGAGCAGCGACAGGCAGCGAGTAATGTTTGCTGACAAGATTTTTGCAATTCCAAGCAAGAGAGACACAGGGTCAGAGAGGGAGGGGGAGAGAGTTACATATAAGTAGCCATTTTTCGAGGCACTCTACACACACTTTTACTCTGTGCCCCCAGTTTGCTCAAGGAAGAAAATTGGGTGCAACTCAACTTGCTCGAAACTCGGAATGTTGCACTTAACTAATTAGGCCAATTTGGAAAATATTTAAGATTAATTATCTGGGCATTTGTTTTAAACACTTAGAAGACTTCGATTAATCTCCACTTAATTCCGATTGTTTAACAACGAGAATCCGGTAGCCTTAATCGAAAGCTTATTCTTTTATAAACATTGAAAAACTAACTCAACTTAAAAGTCTATTTGAAGCATCTACAAAAATAGGAAATCGACATACCTTGTATATATCGACATACCCTGTATATACAATAGATATACCCTTTGCGAACCAAGCATAAAATCTTTAATGTAAATGTTGAAATATTGTGACAAGTCATGCGAAAAACTATGCACGTATTTCCCAACAAATATTATTTCACGCACACGCACACACATTTACAATTTTCACGAACACAACTTGTATTGTAAAATATATATTTGGAAAGGGCTCTCAAAATAATTAAATCATATAACTAGCTAAACAGAAATTTGCATTATTACACAATGCTATAAATATTAGGAAACAAATACGCATGCGAAATGTGCGAATGCGAGCCTCTCACGGCAGAATTAAATGTAAATTGCAAATAGCCAAAAATTAAAACAATGCAATTAGAGAACACAGAACACAATGTATAATAACTACCAAAAATACCACTGCCAAAGCATACACAAAAAAAAAAAAACAGGCGAATAGTTTTGGTCAAAAAACCCAAACCCAAATCCACAAGCCAGAAATGGCATTCGCCAGATAACGATTGCCGCAAATTATGCAAAGTTATGCGCATGTAAAGCTCAAATGCGCCTTCAAATATGCAACAATTTATGCGAATTGACGCAGCTGCATAACAGTAACAACAACAACAGCAACAAGACAAAAACAATATAAGCAACAACAACAATGGCACACACACACGCACACACACACACAAAAAGGCGAAAAATCATAATTACCAGAGAACAGATCGCTCTGAGGCCGTCGCATGCGTGAGATTTAATGCGCCCAACAATGGCCGGCAAACTGGCTCTTGGCTCTGGGCCTGGAACTGGGCTGTGGGCATCCGGGTTCGGGTTTGGGTTCGGGTGGCCAAAACAATCGAGCGTGTAATCCGCTGGCCGCTCGACGCTGTAAACAAGGATTTGCCACGCTCATTTAACGCTTTTGTCTAGCGGCCATTTTGCCCAACCAAAATCTCTCGCACAGACACACACACGCACACATAGCTGCAGGTGTGCAGTCGCCAAAACTGGCATCTCTGTGCCATGTTACCTCATAAATTTCCAGCTGAATGCGCCGCTGCACAGTTGGAAAATCCAGTTGCCAGTTGCCAGTTGCGATGCGAAGAGATGCGACGCGACGCAACGCGATGTGTTGCGTCTAGCGTCGGCTGCTGGTTAATAAATTTCTGAAATGGCCGCTGCGGCGACTGCGGAAAATGCTCAACGGAAGTTGAGACACACACACACATACACACACGCACATGGACTCTCTGACACAGAGATAGGACAAAACACGCTGCCAAGTTAGCAAGAAAAAAAATGCTTAAATCCAAGCACGCATAAATATTTGCGCTGCTTTTCAAAAAGTATACAAAAATCATAAACGGGCTGTGCAGGGGTTGAGTGGAGGCTAACAAAAATTGAAAATTCGCACGCAACGGAAACGGAAGCGCAGAATACAAATATTTTGTTTATACTACATTTTACACAGATTTTCCTACGTTCATTTATTTTTATGTTTTGGCAACATCTACAAAAAGCCGCTCAATTTACCTATAAAAAGACACAAGAGTTGTTAGGCAAAATGTTCAGCTATATTTTATTTATTCAGCTATTTCTGTACCCTTTGAACACTACAAAAAATAACGAAAATAGGTTACACAGTTTTAATAAATTAACGAGAGTTCAGTTAAAGACAATATAAACTTTGGACACGTATATAAATTCGGATAGGCATTCGTTTTTTACAGAATATTTCCTAATTGGCATTCTGTAAAAAAGCACTTACGTATATTTTTATTGTTGTTATGTTCGTACTCCCGAAAGCTGCTAACTAAGCTGCGACCGATTTGCAGCTGTACAGCTTATAGATTTCAATGTATACATATATTATATATATTCATAAAAAATAAAATGGTATTAAATTTAAAAACAAAATTTAAATTATCGGCAGGTAATCAAGGTTCAAAAACTTTAGGAAATAGCACAAAGAAATAAATTATGATTGCAAAATAATCGTGCAATTGTATTTTGAAAAGAAAAAACAAAACATTTTCCATACAAAAATTCAGTATTTGACCGATCGCAAATGAGAAATCCAATATAGTTAAATCGAAATACTACGTGTTTTTAGTAAAATTTATGTTTCTTTAACTTTATATTATCGAATATCTGTAGCCACAGCAAAATAAAATATGAAATAGTAATTACTTTGCACTCAAAAACCTTTGTCAAAACAGGCAACAGTTTTTTACAATTCTGTAGATTGTTAAAATGGGTCTTTGAATATGGGGACTGTGCATCTTATGTGCAGAGCTTATGAGTATTTACGACAGCTTAATACGCTGCCGAAAGTTAAGCTCTGGCGTGCAAATGCAATTAAAATTATTTACGATTGCTGAAAACAAGGGTGCCACGCCCCCATTAAGCACGCACCGCATTTACCATATTTTCGAATATATGTATATATATGGTATTTTTCATATTTTTCTGCAGCATTTGAATGCGCACATAAATTTCAGTAAGCATTAAGCCGGGCAGAGGAGCAACAGACAGCGACAGGACAATGCGTCCATCCTGCCAGCTGGCCAGCAACAACTATTGGCCACAATTTTACGTTTATTTTTATTTTCACATTTTTGTAAGCCCAGCCACAGTTCATTGTTGCCACATTACAGTAACTGTACTCAGTGGATTTGGTGTGGAGCCACACAAACGCATTTAAATTATCATTATTTTCGTTTGTTTGAAACGAATTGTAATAAAATGTCTGGCCTGTGTAAAAGTGTAAATAAATGCTGGCCGTATTAAAACATTATGGGTGGATATACAATTGTTTTACACACACGCAGTAAATGGGTTCTATATGGGAACCAGATAGCATCTACTATAGAAAACGATAGGAATGGATCAGGAAATTTGTGAGCGTTTAATGCGCTGCATTATAAAGTTGAGATGAGACATTTGCATAATTTCGACAGTGCCTGCAACTCAAGTGACATTACTTTTAATGCCACAAAACTTGTCTCTGATCTCACGCTTACCACTCACACTCTGGTTTTCTCTCTGCCCCACAGGAGGTGCATGCCATGGACCGGACGACACGCGTTACCGACTATCGCTTTATCAAGGAGGCTAATGGTGCGCTAACCATCACCAATGTCATGCTCGAGGATGATGGCAAATGGCAGTGCGAGGCGGAGAATACGCGACGCTATACCGAAAATGCTCGACCCGTCAAGCTGGTCGTCCTGGGTGAGTACCACAAGTGAAAGCCGACAACAATGGCAACAACAACAAGTAAAGACCTGGCGCATATAAAAGTTTAGACAAATATTAAAAAGGTCGTTACATTTGCGAAATTAGCTCAGAACGTGGAGCATGCAGCAGGCAGCAGGCAATGAGCCAAGTCAAGAAAAGCAAAAAAAACTTTCCCTATTAGCCGAATCGCAGGTACAGTTGTGCGCACGTTAAGCTAGCTGTAAGTGACAAAAACTGTGGCACGCTCTTGTGCGTGGCAGCTTAGCCAAATGTCGCCCAGTTCTCGCCTTTGTCAAAGATATAAGTGCACATGAGTCTAGTTTTAAGTGTCTTTAAAAGTTGGGAGCTATCAAAGATTTTGAGGATACGCCTTGATAAGGCACTTGGTATAATTTTCTAAATGTGCAGTAAAGTTAAATGTTATTCGCCTTCTTTTTGTTGAATACAACTTGAAATGTATTAAAAGTCTATGAATATTACATAGAAGATGGAATATAGAATAAAAGCTAGAAGATGCCCAGCTAGAGTTAAAAATAAATTCTCTTAGTTTTAGAAAACTTCTTCTCAACTTTATTCAGCTAAGTCTTGAATAGACTACTATATGAATAGCTATTCTGTTTTAAATTCTGATACTAGAACGCAAGTTGATTTTGATACAGTTTTTCTTAATATCAATAGTCAAAGAAGATTAAAGCTGGAAAAAATTTGTTTGGTTAAAGTTTAACAGGACACCTAATGAATAATATTAAGGGGGAAGGCCACAAAAAAGTCTTTATATATGATATAAGGAGTTAATATAAATGGAGAACATATTTCGTTAACACTTCTGCTGATAGAAATTAACGAAATATAATTTCAAAGCAGTTTCCTAATGTACTATAATACAGAAACATACAACATATTAAAGTAAATTCAAATATATTATAAAAAAAGCTCTAGATAAAACGTCGCTGTAAAAATATAAATGCCAGCTGTCAAGTCGGTTAGTGATAATATTTGTCTCCTCGACAAGCCCAATGAATTTAATTTTTAATTATACTTTAATTGTATTTTAATGACATTTTCCTCTTGCAGATCGTCCCAAGCCGCCTTATTTGCTTATTGACTCGCGTCGCCTGGATGCTGGCAACATTTTTGTGCCCGTCAAAGAAAACTCGGAGCTAAACTTGGCCTGCGTCAGCGAGGGTGGCAATCCGCGGCCCACGCTCACCTGGGAGGTGCTGCTCAGTCCAGGCGTAGATCGTCATGCCCAGAAGGTATCCGCCGAGGTGCTAGAGTTGGAGGAAATCAAAAACGAGAAGGTTAGTACACACCAGCACATTCCTCGGCCTTCCATTAGAGAAATGGAGTGGCTATTCCTTTGGCTGACACTTCGGCATATTGTATTATCATCTTAATGCCGACCAGGCGCAACCGCAAGCTATGCAGACATGGGAGCTCATATATAAACGGGAACAGAGAGACACAGAGCAAACACATTAAGTGTGGATAACGGCGGCTTTTCTGGCTAACGCTTAAACAACGCATCTCCGGGGTTCGGCGGACGGACAAATGGCTGCGGTTGCGCCAAATTTGTTTGTCTTGCACTCGAGCATAATGAAAAGCAGACAGTTTGGTCAAGCCTTGCATAAACCGCCCACCGCCCAAACCACCGGCCACCCGCCACCCGCAGCCACCTGTCAAACACATCGAAGATGTCGACATGAGTGTTTATTGTATGTGTACATTTTCTATGTGTGCGTGTGTGAATGTGTGTGCGTGTGTGTGTATTTGTGTGTGTTTGCTTGTCGTTGACCCTAAATGCCACAAATTTGCGTGTTTGGTCTGCTTGGCCCCCAACTACAGCCACGCTGCGCCCGATGATTGATTGAAAACTGTGCCAACAAATTTGCATGTCAAGGCGCGCGGGGGTGGTGCTGCTGGTGGCAGCGTCGGTGTAGGCAATGCCATTGCCCTTGCCCTTGTCCTTGTCCTTGTCTTTGCGCTTTAATTTAAATTAATGATGTCGCGCTGATAACAGGCCCAGACTAATTGGCCGGCCTGACTGCCTTGTCATTTCGCCCAATTTGTCCCGGCCTAAGTCTTAAATTGTAATGGAATTTTTATCAACCACTTTCCACTCTCAACTTATTTTTTTCTGTCTCTCTCTCTCTCTTGCTCTTGCAGCAGGATAAGAACGGTTACAAAATCAACAGCGGTGCCAAGAGCGAGGCCCGTCTGCCCGCCGTCTATAGGGCGCATCATAATGCGAGGATTTTATGTGTCATGGAACATCCCACGCTGAAGATACGACAGAATGCCTCCCTACTCCTCGATGTGCAGTGTAAGTTGAAATTTATGGCTCACAAAACTATTTTTAGCGGAGCTCTAAAGTCTTATGTTTTTCTCAGATAACTTAAATCTATGTATGAAAACCTATTTTCACTTTTAGAGTGCAGCTACCAAGAGTGTATAGAACTGAGTGCTAATAAAGTATTTGGTTTAGGAACATCTTGGCAAGTTTATAACATATGAAATCGATGCAGAGTTATCAATTAAACATATTTGAAGTCATGCTAGTCATTCTATAGAATATTAATAATAAGAATGTGGCTATACAAATTAATATATGTTTTAAGTAAGTTTTTAAATTCCATTTACTTCAGTTTGTGATTTGTTTTTTGAAGAAGAGCTTTAATTGAATGTATTTATTGATGAACAGTCAAAAGGTATATCCAATATATATTCAGGAAAAATAAATAAGAAAAATCGAATGGTTTCCCTTGAATAAAAACTATATTTGTTGAGTTGATTGCACATATGTGTATGTAAGTGCGTAATTAGTCAGTTAGTCAGTCAGTCAGTAAGTCATTTACTCATTTGGCATCATATTTAAATGTTAAAAAAGTTTTTAATAAAAGCCAAACACGACGAAAATCGCACCTTGTTTAATTAACACAGCCGGCGATAGCGAGAGTGCTGGCAGCAGGGGCAGCTGGTGCGAGTGCGGCAAGTAAAAGTGAAAACCAAAAAGCAAATGTTGATTAAAAAGTTAAATTGCTAAAGTTAACACACGCCACGAGGCACGCAACGGCCTGGTGGGCGTGGCTAAAGGATGCTATACCGGTCGTAGCAGAGGCACGGGACGGGGGCAGTGGAAGGGGCCGGCAATGTGGAGCCAGAGGTCGGCGATGGGCAAAGGAAAACAAAGGCACAGAAATTATTATGCAGCTGCAGAAATAAAAGAAAGCAAAGGTGAAATTATTTAATGGAAAGTGCAGCAGAAAAAATAAAAATACAAAAAATAGTAATGGAAGTGGGCTAACGTAGGGCAGCTGCCCTATAGGAAGGGAATATGTCAAGAGGAACAGCAACAGGCACTGTGCCACGATGTAATAAGCACTGCAGTTACAGCAGAGAAATCAAATGCAACTAACAGCTTTGATAAAGTTTTTAATTAACTGCCATTGGGCAGTCAAAGGATTACATTACAAATTATGAAAACGAACATCGATCAGCAAACAATTTCTAAAGAAATTGATTAGAACTTAAAAGTCAGACACGATTATCTCTATCTCTATATATAAAACTGTTTGTCCTGACTGACTGACTGACTGATTGACTGACTGACTGACTGACTGACTGACTGACTGACTGACTGACTGACTGACTGACTGACTGACTGATTGGTGATCAACGCACAGCCCAAACCGTAAGAGCTAGAAATCTAGAAAGGGAAATTCCACCCGCAAGTGTGGAAAAATCGCGAAAAACGTTTGTATGTAACTTTTTGTTTACCATCGGATTGGCCTCAAACTTATTTTCAAAGATCTTTGTTCAAATTCATTTGAGGGGTGTTTCACACTTTTAGGAAAATCCATTCCTCCTTGGTGGAAATGGAGGTCAAAGATTAGGTGGGTGACGTTTCGCGCTCAAATTCATTTCCAGTGATCTATATGAAAAATCATTTGAGACGTGTTTCTCACTTTTCGCAGAATTCAAACTTCTTCGGGGGGAATGCGATTTAAAGATTTTTTGGGCGGCGTTTTAAGTTGTGTCCGATTTGCTTCAAACTTATTTTTAAAGCTCTTTATAAGAACTTAATAAGTACGTATTTCAGCGATTTGGAAAATTCCACCCGCAACAGTGGTAAATTGGCGGAAAACGGTTGTATGAAAGTTTTTTGTTTACCATCCGATCAGCCAAATTCATATTTAAAGATCTATTTTTAAATTAATTAAAGGGGTGTTTCACACTTTTTGAAAAATGCATTCCTCCTTGGTGGAAATAGAGGTCAAAGATTTGGTGGGTGACGTTTCGCACTCAAATTCATTTCCAGAGATCTATTAGAAAAATCATTTGATACGTGTTTCACACTTTTCGCAGAATTCAAACTTCTTCGGGGGGAATGCGATTTAAAGATTTTTTGGGCGAAGTTTTAAGTTGTGTCCGATTTGCTTCAAACTTATTTTCAAAGCTCTACATAAGAACTTAATAAATACGTATTTCAGCGATTTGGGAAATTCCACTCGCAACAGTGGTAAATTGGCGGAAAACGGTTGTATGAAAGTTTTTTGTTTACCATCCGATCGGCCCCAAACTTATTTTCAAAGATCTTTGTTCAAATTCATTTAAGGGGTGTTTCACACTTTTCGAAAAATCCGGTCCTCCTTGGTGCAAATGGGGGTCGAAGATTTGGTGGATGACGTTTTGTGTTCAAATTTATTTCCAAAGATCTATACGAAAAATCATTTAAGACGTGTTTCAAAATCATTTTCAAAGTTTTTTGAAAACATTGATTTTATAACATACGTGCCACGGGCAAGGCTGGGTTATACCCGCTAGTTACTGAATAAATACATACTCATACAAAATATTAAATTCTACATTAAATATGCAGGTCAAAAAATTACAAATGTCTATAAATTAAAAAAAGTTTGGTTTGTAAGAATCAAAATTAAGTTTAAGTAGAAAAAAAGATAAACAGTTTATGAAAAAAATATGAATTGCGTATAATCTTCATTTTCTCTTTCAATAGCGATTATTCAATAAGGCCATAATATTTGCTATTTAAAATGTAGAACTTCAATTGATATCAAGATACAAGACACTTTTATCCAAAACTGTCTGAATACTTGTCAGACACATTGTTACTCTGCATAGTTTAACTTAATATTGCTCTGTCCCAGGCATAGACGGTTTCGGCTTACGTATAATCCGTTTGATTGATCAGAACAGCTCGCTTAAATCTTAGGAAATCAATGCAAAAGGGGCTGCCATCTATCAGCATCCACATGACTTTGTGCGAACAAACATCGACACAAAGGTTTCGCCATAATCGACACCGGCTGCAAATCAAAACCAATGGCTGCGTCCACAGGAGCAATTAGAAGGACTCGCACTAATTGGCAGTAACAAAGCCGCAGACACGTGCTGAAATTGGTAGCCGATGCTGGCCGGGATCAGCATATAACAAAGTGCCACAGTTATTTGCTTTATTAATGCCCGTCAAGCCGCATAATGCCATGACAAATGCCAAGGTAGCCATAGAGAAAAATAGCTAGAGAGACAGAGAGAGGGAGAGAGAGAGAGAACCCATGAAAATGATTGGAAAATATAGAAAAGCCGTGCGGGATTTGCATGACTTAGTTCGGGTACGGGAATGTGGCATGCATCTGCCTACACTCGATGGATATGTGCGTGTGTATGTGTGTGCTTTTGTGGGTGTACGAGCTTTGGCCAGGCATGAAAATTGCAAAAACCGCAATAACAACAGCAAAAGGCCTATAACAATAACAACAGCAACAACAGCAGACGCAGCCCAACCGCAACGTTTTACAACAAAGAACAACTGAGAACAGTTCCTGATATTTCCGAATAACCTCTCCCCAACCCAATTTTTATTGTTTGTTACGGTTGTATAAATTAAAATGCACACACATGAAAGCACTTGCTCAGACAGCTGAAGATTGTGTGTTTGTAGTTGTCATTGTTGTTGTTGCTTTTAATTTTACATTTTTATGCAGACAGTTGACAGGCAAATCAAGGACATCAATCGCACAGCCAGCGGGAACGAGCCTTACATGTTTTCACAATTTAAAAACAATGTAACAAATTGAATGCAACATTTACACAATTTAAGAAATGAGATTCCAAAAATGTAAATCGCCTGTTTGAAATGCTGGATTTTCATAATGGAAGGAATTTTAAAATTTGGCTTTAAATTCTTTGGCGAAATAAGGCAGAAAGTGTTTTTCAGAATTTTCAGTTCAGCCTAGTTAGACAAGCACAATTTTTCTTGTTACGAAATTCGAAATTGTTGATTTTTTGGCGTAATTGGGCAGAAAGTGTTTTGCAGAACTGTCTGTTATGCATAGTTAGAGGAGTACAACAATTTTTGCATTTTATTTTTTCAGTTTGCGGCTTAGATTCTTGCCCCAAACAAATTGATAGACGAAGCCCCGGGACGGCGAGCAGCCAGACAAGGACCTGTGGCCCACGCCCGCTCGTCTACTCGGTTAGCCGCATAAAAGGCAAACGGGCGTCGTTGACTGTCCACAGAAGGACGTCCTTTCATATACATATATGTATGATGTCTGACAACTGCCATCTGTATGCATGTTACGCCCACAGCCACTCACACACACGTACACACAAGCACAGACACACATACTACAGGCAAACTCAGACGAATGTCTATTGAATAGTTTGGCAAACAACCGACAAACAAATTTCATTTGCCCTGCATAATCAAATTGTATTAGTTACAAAAGCCCACAAAAGAGTCGCATGGCGAGAAAGAGAGAAAGAGAGAGAGTGCTAGAGAAGGGCAGGGAGAAACTGTGAAAAATTGAAAGGACTGATATCATTCTATACAGATTATGTAGCATATTGAATATATATTTTTTTTCGGAAATCTACAGGCTCCAAGGGCTAACACTAATTAAAAAACATTTGATTTATGCCTATGAATATGCATTGACTGCAACTAGATACATATGTAGGGTATATACATATGTATATCTGCAAATATATACGTATATGGGCGTGTCACTTTGCCAACCATTGATATTATTTAGGTTGACATTTGCATTCACGTTTACATTGAGATTTGCATTTTGTCGATAGCTTTTTGACATGCATTCAATGGATTTTTGATTGGCACCCAAATGTAGTTACATTTAATGGCAGATCAATTTGGTAAAAGATGTTGAGTACTCGCAACTGGCATAAGAAATAAAATGACCCATGAATATTTAAATGAACGCATACAATTTACTTTCAAATTCATCTAAAATGTAACTTAGTAAGCTTATAAAATAAATATTCAATGCTCGAATACAAACTCCACATCTTTGTCTTTAATTCTTAGACACATTCAAAAATGAATGATATTTGCTCGAACGAAAAATATAAAATTAATTATACAAAAACCTTCCTCATCGACAATTAATTAACTTTAATATTGTTTGAGTCAGAAAAGTTATTGATATATCTCGATTTTCGATATAAAAAACAACCATCAATAAGAAGAGCTTTGCCGAGAATTTGCACATACGTGAAGTATATGTATATAAGGTTAATATTAAAAATTTTTCAAAAGTTTTATTTAATTTAAAAATGAGTTTTCTTAGTGATTGTCATCCGGATATTTTGTTAATCATGGAATTTGCCAAGATGTTTTTGCCAGAGTCAAACAAAGTCCGTTAGCTTTGCGGGTGCTGTTGAAGAGCATCAAAAAAAAAAAAAATAGGAGAGCGTACACACATTTGCATTTAGTTTAATTATAAAAGTTTCTTTCTGCTGCCGTTTATTTTTGTGTCGTAATTTTTTAATTAAAAAACTATTTTGTAGATGTTGCCACAGTCGCCAGTCGGCAGTCGCCAGGCAGTAGACAGGAAAATAACTAACCGAAAATCTCATCGTATCTGTGTGTTATATCCATTCTTATAACCCTTGTTTCACCTTCCTCCCTCTTTGCAGATACGCCCTCATTTGCCATCTCGCGCACACCTGGCTTTGGTTATCCGCTGCGCGAGGGCATCGAAGTTAGCCTCAAGTGCGATGTCGACTCGAATCCTCCGAGCACGCCGCGCTGGCAGAAGGACGACGGTGACACGCCGGTAAGTCTTATAAAACTTATGCAAACGTAGGCTCTGCTCTGACTCACACTGGCTCTGGATTTTGCGAGAGCTTTTGTGATTTTTGGGCAAGGAGCAAGTTTTAAATGGATTTTCGTGCAGTTGTCGCGTAAAAAGTTCTTGGACCAACTATTTGCCTTGCCTTAATTACCAAAAATTGTTTACGCATAAGACCGAAACTCATTTCCATGCCCGTCTCCTAGCCAAAGCTGTCTCAATTTTTCAGCCCTATCTCAAGCATTTCTCTTTCTCTTTTGCAATTTACAGGTGCCGCAAACGGGCGACGGCTTCCTCAACTTTACATCCATTAGACGGGAGCATTCCGGCTGGTATAAGTGCACATCACGGCATCTCAACTTTCAATACTCCTCGATTGGCTATTACCTCAGCGTGCGCTGTAAGTACGACCACGATTACGAGTACTCCAAATAAATTAGCGCTCGTATGCGTGAAATTGCCTTCAAAATGGCGCGTGATAATATTTTCCCCATTAGTTCTCATATAATAAAAACGAAAAAAAAAATAAATACGAAAAATTGCCAAAAATTTGCTGCGTGGCTTTAACGACACTCGCACATGGTGCGTCCCATCATCAACATTTCTGTCGTCATTCCTCTACCCCTGTCTGTCCCCCACTCTGATGATGTTGCTCCTGCTGCCCTTACTGCCCCTGCTGCTGCTACTGCTGCATACTTTGAGGCGTTTCGCTACCCTCCATATGCAAAATGTGGCAAATTTCATTGGCATTGGCATTGAGTGGGTGTGTGGCTGAGCGACACTGTCAACCCTCTGTCTGTGCAGACACTGTCAGCCCCCCATCCTCCCTCCATTTTCCCTTCGTTGCCATTACACACACACACACACACACACAGTCACACTATTTATGCTTACGCGCCATTTTGCTGTCAATATTTTCCCGTTTTGTGGCTCAAGAGTTGTGTTTGAGCTGCGAGCTCTCAGTTTGAGGCACATTTTACTCGCTGAACGCGTGTTAATGCTTGTAAATATTTTTATTTTTATTGAATTTATGCCCCTAACAGCCGCCACTTTGTTAGCAAATGATGTCGCGTTGTTGCCTAAAAGCAAGCGGCTAACAACTTTTTTGTCTATTTATTTTTGTTTGCCGCTAAGCGAAAATCAAATTTGATTAGCTGAAAACGTGCGAGTTTGGGTGTGTGGATGAGTGTGTATTGCAAAAACTGGCAAGACAATACTAAAACAACACAATAAATTTAATAAAATATAAATCATATAAAAAAAGTTCACTTATGAATTGTAAGTGCTTCTGCTGGAATTTACTCAACTTCTTTAGTGACATATTATAACAATGCATTTGCTATTAACGAAGAATCGGTTGGGCTAAGCATAGCAATTCACTAAATTGATAAAGTTATAAACATCTTTGTGTTCGTTTAAGAGGCTAAGACTATTGCTAAGACCCAATCCAATTTCGAAAAACAACTTTTGTTTTTTATTTTTTTTAACAATTAAGGTTATATTTAAAAAGAAATATTAATACAGCTCGTAAGGAACATACATAGAGAAATGTTACGAGACTGCAGATCACTTCGCTGCCCACTTTGCATCCATGGGAATAAGCCAATCAATAGGAGAGACCCTCCCACGGCCCAGACTCCGCAATTCGTCGAATTCGCGCTCATCAATCATGACAAACACAAAATGACTGCCAGAAGCCGCACAAAACGGAAACTGCAACAACAAAGGCGAATGGCGATAGCAAAAGAAAGCAAAGCACAGAAACAAAGAGAAAAAAATGTTATTGGTAATAACAACTTGACAAAGTGTTGCCACTTTTTTATGCGAATGCCGCCGCAGGCACTGTAACGCCCACAGCCCAAGCTGACCCTGGGGAGAGATTTTTCGTCTACGGTGAAATTTTTATGTGTTAGCAAGAAAACGGGGCGAAAAAGCAAAGCGAAATGCGAAAAGCATCCTGACAGGCGGCTGTCGCTGCTCATTATGGGAAAACAAATGCTTTATTAATAAAAATAAAAGCGCCCAAAGAGGCCAAGAAGTGAAGGCAAAAACAAGAGCCAGCCGTGCCTCAAGGGCCGACATATCGACATTTATCGATGATTGATGTGCCAGGCCGTCCAGGCAATCTCACCTCTCTCTTTCTCTCTCCTGTATAGCCTCTCTCCCTCTGTTACTGTCTTTTTGTGAGGCTTGTCGAAAACTTTTGCCGTTGATTTTGCAGCGAAATCTAATTGTGAGAGACGTTTGGCGGGGTTTGTTGGGGGTTACAAACATGGCAACATGTTAAGCACATAAATCAATTTGTAAAACGTTTACGAAACTGCCAAAATGGCAATTCGAGCTGGCAACAGTCGGCATATACGACTGAAGCCTACCCAAATCCACTGGGCGTGTGTGTGTATGTGTGTAGATAAAGTTGAAGGCAATATCTATAAGATATAGTAGATGCTAGGATTAGCTGTCATAAACTAGCAAACAGCTGCAGAGCTTTGATAAATGGCGCTTGAAATAAAAACCAAGAAAATTGCAAAATTTTAAGCCCTCAAACCCAACGAACAAAAAAAAAGACTGCAGGTCCCCAAGCGGGGAAATGAAGCGGCGGGAAAAAAGAAAACTCGAAAACTGATAAATCGCATTTTGATTTTAAGCATCCGCTGGCAGCAAATCGAAAAAATAACCCCAAAGCCGAGACAGACGTTTGAATGCGCGCTTAATTGCTGACGATATGTTTTCTACCCGCATTCCCGCCGCACCGCTACCGCCACAGCGTCCTGCAGCCATTGAGCTGGAAAATGGCGCACAGGTAGCAAAAGAAAACTTTGCTGTCGACAGGGACAAGGGAACAGCGGACACGGCGTGCCTGACAAAATGCAATGAAAAAGCAATCAGCGTGCTACACAACGGCAGCGCCCAAAAACTACAGGACATGCTTAGGACATGCTGAGGACGAACGGCTAAAGTCAACAGCGCGACCGTTGTCGACGGTTACAAAAGTAGGCAATTTGACGTAGTTTCTCAAACTTTTGCGCTAGCCACTTTCACGTGATTGATTTGCCGGCAGAGCCGGACGCAGGACACGGCAGCTATCATGCGGCGCCCGAGCAGGGACAAACTGACGACTTACGGACGCGCTGAGCTTGTTAAAACGTCGCTAATTTGACACGTACGTCAGGCGAGACTGGGCAGCAAAAAGAGCCAGTGAATAAGACGCATCTGCGATTGGCCGCAGTCAACGACATGTACTGAGCCCTGGGAGTCCAGGTATGCCCAGGCGCAGAGTGTGTTTGCCAGCCTCATTAATGAGTTAAAGTTCGAATTGAGGCTAATTAATGTTGAGTGGCCTGCATCATGTTTCTAATGTTTGGCTAACAAAGTGCAATTAGTGAAAGTTTCAGATTAGAAAAATGACAGCAAAGCAACTTCGACAGCGCAATCGATTTATGCGGAACTAGTTTGTGGTGTTCCGATACTCACAGAGAGAAAGTCGTTCGATTTGTGTAAAACGTTCGTTTTTATCTGCTAACTTGAATCATGTGCTGCTTATTTTCTGTGGAGAACATCAAGGAGAATAGTTTAGTTGGATATACAAAAAATATTAACAGGTTAATTATATTATAAATAATATAGGATGCAATCTAATGGATATATTTAAAACAAGCATGAGTCGGAAGCCAAACCAATTATCAAATCTGTTCTCTACTTCATTTTTCAACGATTTTAAATAGTTTATTTTAAGGAGCTGAAAGAATGTTTTTTTCATTTCAGCTCTTAAGAATTTACTCATATAAAATCGCTCGGAATACAATCGTATTCGTACTCTACACCATGGCTCTTGCATAATATATTTAATTATAATTGATGTAATAGATTTTATGTGGCGGTTTTGAATTTTCTACACAATCAAAACATATATTACTAGCGAAGGGTCTCCATAGCGACTTATTCAATACCTCCGCAGAGACCTTTGTGGTAGCATCGCATCAAACAAAGACCTCGTAACCAGCACTAAACTAATTGCTCAGCCAACTGATAGAAAAATGCAACCTATAGAAATCTTGAATTTCTCATCCCCTGAATAGGCATTGCAACCCCCACTATCCCCGCCCATATATATTGGCCACCTCGCTTTGAGAGAAAAACAAGAAAACAAAACAATGTGGGCACCATTTGTAAAGACGAAGAAGAAAGTCCCCAATTGGAAAAACACATTTGTCCGCTGGCTCTGAGGGGCATTACAATAAAATTTAATTTTACACGCTATCGAAAGCATTTCTTTCGCCTGCCCCGCCTTTGTCTCTTCCTCGACACTCTCTCCCCGGTTATTTCTTACGCCTCAACTGGCGGCTATGGCTAATCGGCAATGTCCTTGCGCATGTTATACATTATCCTTTGTCATGCTGGTTATCGCGGTTTAACTTTATCGTTAAGTTCTTTCGCTTCTTCCAGCGCGATATGAAGCATTTCATCTGGCCGCCCACCAGCCTCCCCCGCCCTCTCCCTTTTGCCCCACCGCCCTTTGAAGCACAAGCATGTTGGTCCTTCCGGGGCCCCGCTCGAATTTCTGTGTTTATCGGCGCGCACGATTATTAGTTTTCTGTTTGCTGCTTTTGTTTTTATAGCCGGCGATTACATTTCGGTATATGTGTGGCCCTTGGTCTGGCCAAGGTTCCTATCGGGGTAACTGAGGAGCCAAGGAGCCAGCACAAAAAGATTTGCAATAAACTTTTATTTGACTTGTTTTTATTTGGCTTCAAATGAAACCCAAAACTCATTTGGTTTTTCTTTCTTTATTTTTTGCTTCTCGTTCTCCGTTTGGCCGTCAAGTTACAAAAATATTAAAAACTCATTGAGGATAATAATCTTGAAATGTTTATGGTCTGAAATAAGCGGGAATTAGTGTTAAAATTATATTTTTATAACTTTAAAATGTGTTTGGGAAATCCCGATTGCTTGATTTTTTATATTATTTTAAGCTTTCGAATTAAGCACATGATATATTGTCAAATCTCAAAGGCTTAAAATCGGTAGTAGTCGATGTGCAAAATGGCGGGAAAAGATATTTTAAAAAATTTACAGCTACAGCAGTATCTTAAAATATATTAAATTTTTTCAAAAATTAGATTCTACAAAAAATTAAATACATTTTGCAATTGTTCTTTCTATGGTTTTTATTTTATAGTTATTTAGTTATTTATTAAACCTTTCTTTACTTGTTTAATAGTTTAACCACATTTGTAGTTTCTCTTTCATCTCTTTACATATCTTTTGAACGACTTTCGCTTTATGTTCTCGCTTATTTATAACTTCATCTTCATATCCAATCTTCATGCGCGTTCTTTGCGCTTGTTTATTATGGTCTTTTTTTTAACTTTTTGCTGTGCACATCACATCCAGTGCAATCATCTTCAATTTCAGCTCATTGTAAATTAATCGCGTAGACTATAAACGCAACCCCACCAACCACCCACCACCCACCACACACTTTCGCTGCATCTGCAGCAGCTGAAAAAATATACATTCTATATATTCTACTAAAAATAGTGAAAAATTCTATACAAGCTCAAACTGCGCAAAAAAATTAAAATTTATAACCAAGACACAAACGCAATCAAATGCACCCACCACAGAGCGCATTCGCTTCCACTTCACGAGGCATGCACCACCAACAACCACCACCCACCCGTGCTCGTTGTTTATGAAGCTTGTAAGTTAAGCTGATTGCTGCCTCAGCCTCTGCTGCTGCCTCAGTCTCTGCTGCTGCTGATGCAGCTTCATATTCATGAATAAATATGATGATGCATTTTTGTAGACGCAAAACGAAAGCAAACGTGCTGCTAATGAAAACTCAAAACTAGCTTATATATAACTATCTAACTATACATATAGGTATTTAGCTCTAGAGTATTTAACTAACCCAATCTTAACCAGGAAACGAAATGTGTGCGAAAACAAGTTAATAACTTTTCAATATGTGTAAGCGACAGCAAATGCGCGTTTGGCCGCTTTGAAGGATTTATGAGCCGAGCCACACTCAATCGGCAATGAGTGTGCGTGTGTGTGTGTGTGTGGACATATTGATGTGCCTGATACACTCTGTCTGACTGCTTAAGCAGGGTGCGGATTCCGGTTGCGGATTTTCGGGTTGCTGTGACTGGCCTGCATTTGGCAGGCGGCGCAGCCCAAACCCATTCCACAACCCAACGCACTTCACAGTCCTTCAGGCTGCCCGAGGCGGTGCGGTGCGGGGCGGAGCAGGGCGGTGCGGTGCGGAGTGGCACTACTTGAAGCCAACGCCAACATGCTGATGATGATGCTTTATGATTAATGATTGGTGGCGAGACCCACTAGAACCCTCCAACGCCTGCTAGTCCTTCTGTGTCCACAGCCTGAAATATGCTGTATCCTTCTGTCTCTTTCTCTCACTTTCTCACAGACTCTCTCTTTCTCTCTGTCTGGCATATTGATGACTCTTATTTGCATTAGTGTTTGTTGTTTGCTCTTCATATTTGTTGCCGTTCTGTTGTTCTGCTCCGGATTTATATACCATGCGGAAGACATTCACGAGTCTTCGCCGACCCATCAATCCGACCCCACCGCCCCCTCATCTATGACGACATATGGACGTTACTTGATGCACATTTGTTTGCTTTTGTTTATTTGCTTTTCTTTTCTCCTCGTTTCGATTGTGGGTGGGTTTCATTCTTATGAATGGCCATCGAACAAAATATGCGTCGAACAAGTGCTGGGAATTATGTTATGCCATGTGTGTGTGTGTGTGTGTGGGTAGTGGGCAGCTAACGGTGGGTGGGTTAATGTGAAGTGCGGAACTTGAGAAAATGTTGAATAAAGTTGTGTGAAAACTTGTAGTCTGAAGTGTTTGGCTTAAATAGAGAGTGATATAAGGGCTAAAAGAACTTTAGAAATTGCTTGAAATGTTTGAGATCCGTTTATTGAGTATGATTGTCTTTGTAAACTACAGAGTCTTTTGACTGTTCCACTGATTCAAATAATTATAATTATTAATAATTATTATTATAATTATAATAGACAAGTCTGATGCAATTAGTATCATAAAATATATATAATTTATTTCAATTATTATATGTCAATTGAATAACCCGAGTCAGAGAAATAGCCATCGGACGTTTTCGTCGAAAGACTGTATATATTTATCATTTACTTTTAACACAAAAATACAACAATTAATACACCATCAAAGCTGTTTAAAATAAACCACAGGGCAACGCTTCTAGGTACCTGTTAAACAAATTGAAAGTTTAAGGAAAATATTTCACAGTGTTCGCCAGAATTTTTTTTTCTACTTGATAAGGGCGCATATTTCCTGTTGATCGTGGCTGTTGATTAAAAATCTCCCTAGATTTTACACAGTGACATCTTGCAGGTGTTGTCGCAATTCTTACATTTCTTAATTCCCATCCACAGCCAATAAAGTCAATTGTCAAAATTGTATATTAATGACTTAATCTCTTCAAAAGTTCCCGGTTGCAAATGCAGATACGCGGAATAGAAAGTAGAAAATTCTTGGTAATTAGGCTTAAACACTTAACAGTAAAATAGTTGAGAACCACCGCCATTACATCACCTGCAATTGGCTGATCCTTGGCCCAGTTTTCTCCCTAGATTTAGGTCTAGACATTTACGAGGATTTTTAATTTTTTGTTAACTTTGTTCCTTTACAAAGGCCCAAACATTTTTCCAATAAGTGTCATATTGAGCCTTAAAACATAATCTGCTGATGCTATATTTTATCTGGTCTTATTACATCCTGGCTTTTCTGTTCGATTGCCACCCCCTAACTTTTATCTAATTTCATAATATATCAAATGCTTTCCTTTTCAAATTACGCCCCTCAACAGCAAACTCGCACCCCATTGCGACGCGTTCCCAGTTCCCAGTTCCCATTTTACAATTTGCAGTCTCAAGTTCTTATCAGAGGCGGCTTCGAGCAGGCCGCGAGCAATGTCCATTGACAAATGTCTGTCAGTCGAGCTGAGCTCATTAGACATTTTATAGACAGCCCAGAGAAATTGAGGGGAGATAGGGAATTCGCATTCATTCTCTCAATTTGCCCCCAGTTTTCACTTGTCAATTTGCGCAGCGTCCCTTTGTCTTTTATATTTTTTTGTGCTCGAGCAATAAAAAATGTTTATAACTACGTGATTTTGACTAAGCAACACGCTTCTGCCGCCTTCCCGCCTTCCTGGCTTCCCGGCACTCCAGCACCCCGCAGACAACATTTTGCGCTATTGTCAGCAATAAAACTCGCAGGGGTTGCTGACCGCGTCCGGGGTTGTTTCACTCCCAGGTCCAATGCCAACTGATTGACATGCGACGAAGGCTCTCGGCTCGAAATGAGCTTACAATTAATTGTTACTTTGGCGTTTCGAGTGCTCACCTCGACTCTTTGTGCAAATCTCGGCTCAAGCAATGGAACTTTAAGGTTTTCGCCACTTCTTTAATGTGTGTCTGGGGTGCGTTTCTGTAAAGGGATTCGTTTAACTCGCCGGCCGCTGACTGTTTGTAATTAGTAGTTTTTGTTAATTGTGCGACCGCTCGGGTTAGCAGGGGGTTGAGGGCGATGTGGCGAGGGCTAATTTTATGAGCGCTTTGAGGTGCAACCTCAAATTGCCAGACATTTGAAATGCCAGCGAATTGCGGCCTTGATAAGTAGTCAACACTTTGTAAGACTTACGTGCGCCCAGAGTCCTTGCCACACACGCACTCATACACACACACACACACAGACAGGCAATTTGCCTTGGGTCCTTTGTCATGATTTTTGCCCAGGCATCCACTTGGGCAACTTATTGTTATGATATCCGTTCTCAAACAAAAGCCCACGCTGCATACTTTTAGGCGCACGTCAACGCAAATTGTAATTTATATGTAATATGAACAGCGCCATAAAGTATGTGACACAAAGGCAGCCTGAAATTTAAAGCACAGCACACAAGAGATGCCTGCGTAGATTATTCCAAGCACGGCACGGAAATAACACGAGCCATAGAATGTAACCAGGCACTGAATATGGCTTAAATGGTGACCACATTGATAAAGGAGAACTCTTCTCTGGAATATCGTTATTTCACCCTCAAGACCTCCTGAACCGGGTCTTGGCATAAATATCTCATACTAAAATTTAGACGATCTCCCCAGTATCACCCCTTAAGCCTCCCCCTTATAAGTTATCTTTAATTCATTGTTATGTTTGTTAATAAATTTCATTATTATTTTCCAAAAAAAAAAAAAAAAAAAGAATATCGTTATATCGGTGCATCAAATATATTGTCGCTTAGGCGATATTTTGACGATATTCTTTCTATGATACCATTGAAACTCTATAGCTTGTCTCTTGACATGATTTGTCGAAAGTCCTAATTTGTCGTGATGAGTTATTGTCATGCTGTAGTTCACTTTTCACCAAAGCAGTATTCTATTGGGACGCATGCATCCTATATAAAAAAGGTATCTTTTAACTTTATTAAGCTCGCCTACCGCAAAACTCGAATGTTTGTTGTGGCGATAGAAAATATATTTTGGACATGGTGTTGATAACTGATTTGTAAATTAAAAATATAGTATTCCATTCTGCTTATTCGTGTCACGACAGCAAACACGACACGTTCTCAGCTCTATACCACAAACACCACACAGCTCACGCAGTTGCCAGCTTCCAGTTTCCGGTTCCCAGTCCTAAGTTACGAGTTTCCCCTGTTAAGCACAAAATATGCGAATATGTCGCATAAATTTGATGTCATTTTCTGTTCGCAACGAAATTAGAATGAAGCATCGTAATGTCTTTTGCTTATCGTGCTTCTTATTCTTAGTATTTATTTATGAGTTCGAGCTGTGGCTGCTGCTGCTGCGTGAAGTTCAGTCAATTTTCCAGCTGCCTGCTCAGCGATGTTCACTTTTAGTTCAACTGAACCTCAATAGTCGGTCAAATCACGCCAAATCGGAAGTGCCAACTCATTGTGCAGATTTCAGTCAGCTACTGGCAGCATGACTCAGGTGCTCTTCAGTGCCACCTAAGTGTCGCCCACATCCTGTCAAGGCGGCGCGCAATTTGTTTTGCTTAAGAACTGCCAACAACCAACTCCTCACCATCTCCCCAGCGTTTCTTGTCATTGAAATATTGTCACATTTGACAATTGCTGACAAGCTTATCATATTTTATGCCCCTGCACATGTGTGCCACAGCGAAACTCTTTAAATTTTCATAAATTTTCACACATTTTCCCATGTTCTCTCTCTCAATATTTACAGATGACTCGGTGGATGTCACTTCGGAACCGGATGATCAGGATGTCTCAGTGGCGGCTGCCTCTCATAATCCGAACAAGGGGCAACTCGAGGTGCAGCTGGGCGGCGCCGTCACACTGCAGTGTCCGCAAGGTATGGCAATTTTATAGCATACTCTCGGGCGGTACAATTTATTAAAAGCTTTCTCTTAAATACTCTATGTTAGTGAAATAATACATGAGTCTAAGCTCCAAAGAATATGAAAATGCATAGCTATGGCCTCAAAAATAAAAACAAGAGTCGGTGAGGGAGATATACTTAGATACCACTGCCAAGTGTCAATCAACAGATTTGTAAAGTCCATCTTTTGAATTTTGGCCCAAATGCATGTCCATTTATTTATTTTGATATATGTGGTTAATAGGACGCACCAAGAACTTTATTTGGGCCTATCTTTTATCACTGTTTCTTAAAGTGTGCCAATTATATACATCTTAAGACGAATATTAATTGTCTTATAACTCACTAAATTGATCTCATTTTCCCAAAATGTAAAATAAATGTACATCCCATTAAAAGCTTGGTAGACAACAAAATATTTACTTCCCTTTGGCTATAGCAACAAGGTATAAGCAATGCTTTTTATACACTTGTCGAGAGTATTCATAATATGTCTTGAAATGTGAGATGCGTGTTGTTTCAAAAACTTATTTGTTTAGCAAGATATCATGACCGAATACGACATTTTTTGCATACTCCATATAAAAGCAAAATAAGACATCCGACCACCTCAGCTCTATAGGTAGAATCATCTGTAATATTGTCTGCTTTTAACGCTTTTGCGAGCTTTTAAATTCTCCTTATACATATATGTCAACAAGGGTATTAAGCCTTCGGCGCGTTAATATTGCCTCTTTTAAGTACATCAAAGCAATTGAGGAAGACCCGTGCTACAATCGCTGACAATGAAGAAATGAGCTCCACTGAAAGATGCGTTGAGTATCTAATTACATTTTAGATTTCGTTCCACTAATTGAGGCACAGATCGAAGCGATTGCGCTGGCAATCGTCGAAGGGAGCTCTATTCATTAATTAGCACAATTGAAAATTAATTATGCGTGCAATTTACTTTGCTCACTTTTAGGCAGTCAACAAACGACGGCACAACCGAAATATCTGTTAGGTTCAGCAGTGTGAAGAGGTGGTGGGAGGTATCCTCACTTTGACAAATGGCAGTGGAAGCTTTTTGTTGTTTACGACTCCGGCATCAATTAAAGAAATTAAAACTTGCGTGCCCTGGCAAAGTCAATTAATTAAATTAGAAATGGCACCACGTCGAATTTTGCAAAGACTTTAATGTTTTCTCTGCTTTAATGTAGGCTCCCTGGGCTGCTGGTCACACTTGGATCCAGTTTCAGCACGTCTGCGCGGCCTTGGCTACGGCAGCTCTTTGCCGACGGGCCAATTCTCACTCAAAGACGTCATGTACCAGGATGCGGGCACCTACAAGTGCGTGGGCCAACCTCTCGCCAACAAGAAGAAGCTCGAAGTGCTTCAAAGTGTCATCGTTTCCGTCAAGGGTAAGTCAAATTTGAACGCAGCTGCATGGCGATTCGATTATGTGGAAATAGTAGTTGGAATATGAACTCCCATTTAATCGAGAGAGAGGCTTTAATATGATTTATGTTGTGGGTGCAGGCAGCATTTAATTTTCAATGCTACAGCTTGTGTTTAACTTACACGTTTTTAATTAGAACTAGTTTCTGGTTTAAGCATCGATTATGAGTGTTTCATTTGTTTAAAGAAACTCGCAGCATACCCTACCTTTTTTAATATTTCAGGTAGCTTTTAGGATTGCGCAAATTCAGTTTGAATGGTTTTTTAATATACCTTTTATGCGATCTCCATCTGAAAATAGCCAACATCAATTTTGAAACTAATTCTATAATTTTTTAAACACACATTGAATTCCTTTTAAATTATTTCGGCATTAAGAGCTGCAATTCGAACCTACACTTAAAGTAAAGACAACGCACACTTTCCATAAATTATAAAGTTAAATGTTATATTAAGGAGTCTTGTCTCAGACTTGTCAACAGCAACAAAAGCTCTAAATAAATTCCTACTACGTTAAATTTGTTTTATGATACGTAAAATATTTCTCAGTAATTATTTTGAATTCCTTCTTTTAAATAGGAAAATAAACACAAAGCGTTTGAAACAGGTACAGCTTTTTGCCCCGAATGTGCTATCTACTTTCGCCAAGTGTAATTTATAGTCCGAATGGGACAACTGTTTCAGCGCCGAGTGGCTCGCACAGTTTATGTAGCCTACTTTTCGGGCTTTGGCAGGTGACAGCAGCGAGTTAAAAACATTAAAAACTTTGACAGCAGTTTTCAGCACGTTGCAAAACAAATGAAAACTTTTGCGTTTCAGCTTTGTGTGAATTTTTTCTTCCCCCACCCCTACAGTGCCTGTCAAAACTTCGACATTTTACTTTGCATGTGATTTTCGAAAAGTTACCCAAAGATTATTCTCCCTTTCGCGCTCTCTCTCTCTCTCTCTCTCTCTCTCTATCTCTATCTCTTTGTCTCTGTCTGTCTCTTGTGCTCTGCGCTTCATCTTGTCGCATTGACACTTGTCAAATCTTTGCCTGGGCGTGTGGAAAAACGACGCATGATTGATGACTCGGCAAAGGCAGAGCCAATTCCAATCAGTTCTCGCTCAGGCATTGAGAAATTACGTATACGCCATGAATAAAATGTTCAGCTGTAGCTGACAATACCGACACGTTGCTGTTTGAATTCTTTGGGAAAAAATGGAAAATCATGCGACCGGAAATTAAAGAAAATGCGCACAGCTTTGATTTCATATTGTCAGCTCCAAGCTGCACAATTCCCCTATCTCTCTCTCTCTCTCTCTCTGCCTCTTTCTCTCTCACTCATTTCGATGCGGGACAGCATTAAGATGTCTTCAGGCGAAAGTTAAGTGGACACTGAGACAATAAAACTTGCCAAGTGCTGGTTGCTGCTACCTCCACTGCCCCCTCTTCTCTGACAACTTGTGGGTTAAGCGGCTGGCAGCTGACAGCAGCAGGTCCGGCAGCCCGGGCTTAGAACCCTCGAGTGCAATACAAACATGGCAGCTCACAGTTGCGCCCGAGCTGCGGCCAAAGCAATCAAACAAAGTCGCTCAAGTGGGCGTCAAAAAGAAGAAGAGGGAAAGGCGATTGTATGGAGTGAACAACATATGGACGCACACAAACACACATACGCACACACACACTTATAATGCTCTATCACATGCAATTTGAAGGTAAGACATTTTGTCATTAAAACTGCGAAATTGAGTGCTGTATAAACAAAATACGCTGTCGGGAGTCCGGACCAGGACTTGACAGGAAGAGTCAGTAAAAGATGACAGAGGCGTTGCTGCTAACGCTTTACGCAAATAAACAACTAAGCAAGACGCAGAACGGGGAGTGGAGCTCGCACTGGCAACGTGAAATAGTCATATTTATCAAGTGGCATCCAGAAAGGATTGCCTGGCAGCAGTAGTATCTGGAGTCAAAGACGCCAGGATATGGGATATGCCAGAGACAGCAGGTGGAAAGGTAGCAAACAAGTCTGATAAAACCTGTAAACGCGCGAGGAACCAACATACACAACAATAGATTAAATTTACTACGGAAAGACAGTGAAGGGAGAGGAGAGCGAATCAGACAAGTCAGAATTTGTGTGTACGTTAGCCCCCTGGGGTAAATGGCTTCACTGTACTTGTACTAGTACTTGTACCCGTAGTTCGCCTCGTATTTGTGTTTGCTTCTAAAATTAAACAAAATACAAAGAAAAAAGCAAACTAAGGAACTGCAAATCAAAAGTCGAGCAAGTTTCTTAGTCTACAAAGTTTCCGGTTCTTTTATAATGCTCGATTGCAAAAGAAGTAGCAGAAGAAGACGACGAAGTAGAAGCATCACAAGTGAGAAGCTCTAGTCCAATTGTTGGTAGTTGCTGCTGTTATGAGAGCGTATAAAATTTATAAATTTACGTAAGTGATAAGCACTAAATTATCACGAGCGTTAACTATGATGAAACTAAAGCAAAACAAATTTACAAAGACGAACAAAAAGACAACTAAAACAGAAAAGAACTACTAAATACCCATATTTAATAACTAATTTTCAAAGATCGTACGAACTCAGTTGAGAGATGTTTCACCCTTTTCGGTAGATTCACCTATGCTTGATCAAAATAAGAGTCAATAATTCTCCGGGTGAAGTTTCCGGTTCAAACTAATTTTCAAAGATCTATGTACAAATACGTTCAAAATATGTTTCAAACTTTTCGGTAATTGCATCCCTACTGACTAGAAAATGGGGCTCATAGGTTGTTTGGGCAAAGTCTTAAGTATCAGCCGATCGGTTGAAACTTCAAAGATCCTTGTACAAATTCCATCGCTCATAAATTGAAAATGCTTGATCAAAGGTCGTTTATTTGATCAAAGGTTTTCTATTTTCGGCTTACAGCTTCATACTCGGAACCAAAATGGGCAAAAAACTTTCAATCTAAATTTTAGTTAATATTCGATGGTTTTCGAATACTTATGTAAGGATGACCTGAGGCACAGAGCTATTGTTAGTATGGGTAGAAATTTACTGTAAGTGAAACAAAACGCTAGACCCGAGCAGTGCCGGAGAATATCCACAAGTACATAGATACATATGCTCAAACTGCTTTTAGGTAAGGCCAACACTGAAAGGGCATTTATCTATTAATATTAATTTAATGTAGGTCTCGATAAGAAGTATCGATAACATGATAGCGACAGCCAATATTTAAAAGAACAAAAATTTTAATAGACTTCAAGAATAATGATATAAATAAATCAAATATTACTACTAGAACGAACTACTTTACCACTGCATATTAACGTAACCATAAAAGCGTGCAACTTCCTAGACAAAGGTAATTAGACAGTTATCAGAAAATGTATTGAATAAACGCATTCCAATAAATTAGCCATGGCCCAGAACATAGAGTATAAAATCTGCGGCCGAAGGCAATTCTTAACGAAAACGAATTTAAGATGAAACTTTTGCTGATCGCTTTTGCTGCTCTACTGATTCTACTGCCGGGAGTTCACTCAGTATGTCCACCCAATCAGATTTGTGACAATGCGAAAGGAGATAAAATGGGTTAAACAAAGCAGACAAATCAGATGTATTTGAAATAAAGCTTTGAGCCATTTCATATAAACCCCTTTTGTGTGCACTTGTCACAAAATCTAAAAAGCTGGAATAAATGCAGATCCCAAATGTTATTTATATGACTGATCAGAGTGACGTGCTGAGTTCATATAGCCTTGCTGGTTGGTGCATCTGCGTCTATCTGTCTGTTTCTGTTTCTGTTTCTACTCCAGCCAAATAAAAAGGATATAATTTGATAAGGTTCGATTTTAGGGATATTGGAATATTGATTGTTGAAATAATAAGTGAAATTTGGTTTCACAACACTGTGTTGTAAATAATAATTTAACAACACTGAAATACTCACAAACACTCATTCATACAAAAGTTACAGTGTAGCAAGTAGGCTTTTGTTATTTTAAGACCCTATTCTTGATACTAAAATGCTTAAATCGTTTAGCCTCACTCTTAATAGAGCATCTGAACAAACAAGTTGACGCGCTCAGTAATCCAAATAATTAATATCGAAACAAACATAAAAATATAAATAAATATAAATAAAAATTTATAAAACATATTTAATTGTGGGCGATTATAAGGCAATATTCCAATAACGGATGTGTCTTATAGATATTTTTTGCACATTGCATCGGACACGGAGTATTTCGTAGTGATGCAACCCTCACTAGAGCATTCAAGTTAAAATTCTGTGCATTAAATTGTGGCGACAGCTGAGTCTTTCGCTTCGTGCGGACTGAGCGACGCGAGGAAACCAAAAATATCTTCATTAAACTGCACTTTAGAGCTAATAAAAAATTCTCTCTTCGAGCTGTGTAACTTTTAAGTTAGCAAAAAAAGTAGAAAAAAGAGGCAACTTTGCTGCATTTGGTTAAATTACTTAAAATAAAATGTAAACAAAACGCCAACAGAATGTTGCCAAGCGGGGTGAGCAATCGAAAAGGGGGCCAAAAAGTAGCGACAAAGTCTACTGAGCCACTTTTGCAAGCAGCCAGTTAACATATGCAGACTTAGCCACACCCACACACATTGTCAACACAAACGCCCACATAAAGTTAACGACAAAAAAAAAGAAAGAAAAAGAAATGTGGAGTCGGAGCAGAGAAAAACGTTAAGGAAACGCAACGGAAAAGCCAAAGCCAAAGCGAAAACGTTGCGAAATTGTGAGAGAAAATTGTTATTTAATTTGTGTGAGTGCTGAACATTTTTGCAGCTGCTGCTGCTCAAGTTTTTGCGCACAAACTTTTGGCCAACACACGCACCAGAAACTTTAACACAAGCATAAATTTACTCTGTGTGTGCATGTGTGTGTGTGTCTGTGCTTGTTGTGTGTGTTAGTGTTGGTAAGTAAGTGCACTTCTGCATTGGCTGGCAGGC